GTATATGAATGCTCTTAGATGCACCACTGTATCAAAGCAAAACACAAAACAAAAAATAAAAAACTAATTTCAATCTGGTTTTAATTTTCCTTATAATCTGGATTTGGATTAGAAATATAATTCATAAGGACTGTACTAAGCCAATTGTACATTACACAACCAATACGAGACCAAGTGACAATACACGTACAATGTACATTTCAAGATAAAGGTCTAAACACAAAATATGATAACCGTTAACAAGAATTCTGTATTGTTTAACATAAAAAAAAAAAAAGAAACAAAAAATTCAACACAATATTCGGATTTCATTGTACTGTAGTACCACAAATAATGCGTAACAAAATATACTGGAATACCAAAGTAATAGTAATAATTAATAAAAACAAGAACACCCGAAACTAATCACATAACAAAATAGGCTGAGTATCTATTCCTGGAAGGGTGGTAGACTTGGATTGGTATCGCCTTGTGTTTTACAAGAAGTCCTCAAAATAATTTATAGTGAATAAGTCAAATAAATGAAAAGTGGAACTTAACCATACACATCCCACCAAGGAAATTCTATGAAAACAATTTAATAAATAAGATAAATTAGAATCGTATGCACATTAGATTCACAGAGCAAGTCAACATTATATAATGTTTATTATTCGACTAAAAAAATAAACATAAATAATATGGCACCTACAGATGTCATATTATAATACACAGATAGAGAACTTTGGTAACATCCAGAATATTAGAAGAACCCTCTCCATTATAAAATCATTTCACATTTGAATTATGTACTGTGAACAAAATGCTGAAGCGTATCTACCTACAGGACATTATAATATCAATACTGTACTTTACAAATAAATGTATATGTTTTTAAATGAGATATTTACAATTCTTCTAACAATAGTGTACAGATAAATTAATGAATCAAGCAGGGATTATTGACCTTGATTTAGGCCTACAATGAAACCTTGAAATTCATGTTATGGTTTCAACTCTCGGTGAAATTATAATTATATTGAAAAAAGTGTAACTTAAGTGATGTTTTTCTAAATACTGATCAATTTCAAGTCTCTACAATAAGCAAAGAAGTTACTAAGAGTACAAAGAGAAATGCATCCTATACACACTCATCATATACAAGAACCATCAAATAACAGACTGGCTGGGACGATTTCCTGAATTAAGTGGATGAAAAATTAAAACTATGTCTTCATTACATTCTGACTGTCGTCTGTGTATCTGATGATACATGATAGCCAAGTGCATGATAGAGTTCAGATCATTGTACAAATGGATGAAATATTTGAATTTGAGCTAATCAAAATTACAAAAGGTCGTAGAGAGCTCCTTTAAAAAATTGTTTTGACAGACTTGGAAATAGATTATTTATAACTTCATTTCCCAGGCATGAATCAGGAACTAATAAAGAGCACAATGAGAGAACAATAGAAACCATGTCCACCTTTATACACTTCCTTATATTGAATGTAATGACACGAGATTTATTAACACCACCATGCTTCTATCAAGTTCTTTTTTGTAAGCAATCAAACTTACATCTTTAAAAAACATAAATAAAATAAAGATAAATATGGACAACCAACAAATTTGACACCACATAATTAATAAAAAATAAACAGATGTTCATTGCGAATTTAAGCATACTGTGTAAGTTTAATTATTAATGTTTCACTTAACAACAATATCAAGATAGCACTCAAATTAAAAAAGTACTATCAAGGCAGACTGCAGGATGAAATAAAGCAAAAGTAAAATTTCTAAATCAATTGCACAAATTACACTAATCTATGTCAACAAAAGCAGCCCTACCCTCCACCAAGGTATCATGTGTTTTGTAACTTCATGTTTGATAAACTAGACTAATTAATTAATTAAAAAAAACATTCTAAATAATTAATATATTTAATTTCATAATAAATTATAATTATTGGAGTGATCATTATATTTGTTTTGTGATGAATTGTGATTTATCATACCTTTATTGGTAACTTCTTGTTTGTTCCGGTAGAAATTTAATATAGAAACCTTGCTGCCTTTCATATTGCAGAAAAAAATACAATGGATTCTCGATTGGTCATAATGACCAATCAGAACATGCTATAAAATAGGAATACTCACCAATTTTACGATTGTACGTTTCAGCTGTCATTTTGATGGACCTTAGTCAAGACCTTTTTTATACCTTGAACACGCCACACCCGTCAATAATGATGATTTCGAATAAAAATAAAATTTTAGTTTTTGGCCAACTAGCACACCCGCTGCCACGAAAAAATGGGAATTCCATAAAAAATTAAAGTTTTCTTTTCCTCTTTCTTTTTCTTTCCCACCACTGCCTTTAAATATCCAAAAATAAAATATGTATACTTTTTCCTAATTATATAAATTTAAAGCATCTAACCTTCCCATTACTACACTGTTTACATTCAACAACAAAATTATATTTATATATCCACATTCGTCTAGATGTATTTGTGAAAACCATTTGCTAAAAAAAAAAATATTATTCTATATTTTTTCCGCCCTCCTCTGACGATCTTTAAAATATAAGCAAGGTATAAAAAAAGTCTTGCCTTAGCAACAATATCCAAGAATTACCAATTAGCGTTGTCTTTAACAATAAAAAAATTAGACAATGTAAAATGAGTCTGTATGTTTAAGTTCAGTGCACTTACAATGAATAAATTTTAAAATTAAGAGATTTAATGAGAATTAATGGAGTCAACAAATTCAAATGGTAGCCATTCTTGGCTCTACATGATATCACTCAGTTATCATAAATATATAACAGTTTACTCCACTGAATTCTAAAATGCTAAACTTCCACATCTTATTATTGTACAGTAAAAACAATGAAGCATTGTAATCCCTTCCATAATACTACAACCTAATTAGCTTGTTTTTTATTTATTCATATTTGAAGCTTATGTTATGTAATGTATTGTTACAGTACATAGTACATTTATTCTGAACACAATATAATTTACACAATCATTCAAAATTTTAATTTGGAAGCATTTCGAATGTTCTTTTATATATATTTCATTATTTAAATAATTATCTATGTTGTCTTATAGCATTCCATTGCCATCTAGTCTTCAGAACAGTAAGGCATTTTGTACTCAACATCTCTTGTTATTTCTGAGTCGGGTACTGCCTTCGTTGGCGATAAGCTCTAGAGGTCGGGCCAGAAGTTGAGGGACTTGGTTGCATCATAGGTGGTTGGAAGCTCTGTTGAGAGAATTGCTGAGGATTGAACATCATCGGTATGGCAGGTACGGTTGGCTCTGCTGAAGCTGTTGAGTCCCATTGGTTTGACTGTCCCTGAAATGGACCATAAATTGGAATAAATATATATAATAAATAATAATAATAATAATAATAATAATAAAGAGTGTAATAATACATCATGTTCTGAAGACAGATTACTGCTAAGTGGTCTGGAGTTAGTCATAAGCCAGGGGGAATAAAAAGCTAATTTTTTAGTTTAAATGTTGAGCCACAAAACTTTATTACTTGACAGCGACAGATCACGGGTTGAATTTCTGCCAGTGCCAGGGGAACTTTTCCAAACAATTGATAAGGAACTTTTTTGTTGAATAGGCTATGTACGATGCGATTTTTACATCATCATCCTTTATTTCGAGCATGTTTCTACCATTATTCGATTATTCATTTATTTGATTATTCATGTATACTACATGCAGCCACATTGATTCTATATACACAGGTACAGTATATAGATTATTAAAAACAAAACGTTGTTTTTATTTGATATTACATTCTTAACATTAAATAACCAGACGGATATTTTATGGCCAACCACAGCAAGATTAATATCTATCAAGCAGTGCGTGTATAATGTGATGGCCATTACCCTACAGGGAGTGCCAAGCTGTAATCAACCAATCAGAAAAGGGATTGCATCACTCAGCCACATTAATACTGAGATTGATATCTATTCCCCTCGCACCCACTTATCTAAAAGTAGCAGTAGCAGGGGCGGATCTAGAATTTTACAAATGGGAAGGAAGGCACATTGTTTTAAGCTAATGATATTACATTCTTAACATTAAATAACCAGACTGATATTTTATGGCCAACCACAGCAAGATTAATATCTATCAAGCAGTGCGTGTATAATGTGATAGCCATCACCCTACAGGGAGTGCCAAGCTGTAATCAACCAATCAGAAAAGGGATTGCATCACTCAGCCACATCAATACTGAGATTGATATTTATTCCCCTCGCACCCACTTATCTAAAAGTAGCAGTAGCGGGGGCGGATCTAGAATTTTACAAATGGGAAGAAAGGCGGGGGGGGGGGATGTATTTGTCAACTATACTTATTCATAACATGGCATATATACAGTATATACATGGCATTGTTATGTGACATTTAAAAATGTCCCATGCACTCCCCCATCCCCCCATCACACACACATCTGCTCCTGAGTGTCAACAAGTGACTGGTTTCTGACCCATGGTCACACATTGAATAAAGGGTTAGTTTCTAAAGACATTGAGATGCAGTTTAATGTCCCTGAATATTCTTATGACCTTGGTGTTGTGTTTCAATTAAAATAAAAGAAATATAATTATATTACTGCGTGATTGCAGAGATATGAAGAAGACATGCTGTATTACAAGAAAATATAGTCATGGGTGGAACATGAGCAGATTATTACAAGCTCAAGTAATTATATATTAATGAAAAAAAAATTCTTAATGCTCCAACACTGATTGGAAAACCCATTATGTTAATAACCCCTACAAAGTAGTAGAGGTTTAGGCAACAATATTAGAAAATTAAAATCAAATACCATGCATAAAGACACTATATAATAATGATCTGAATTTCAAAATTCATTTTGGATTAAATATAAATTGAGGTTATGTAACGGAAGTTGAAATATTTTAGAAACTCTTTAAAAAAGCGTAATATATATGTAGTGTAGTTAGATAACTGAATTTACAAAAGTAATAAAAATACAGTAGAAAAATCAGATACAAGTTTAGTTCCTAATTTTAAATCATTTTTTCATGCAAACTGCTTCAACAGAGCATAAGCCACAACCTTAAGTTTATTATTACTTTATTTATTTAGGCACAATTAAGGACCGAGAATATGTTAATGATGATTTTAAAGAGCAATTTGCCTATCTTGGTCTGTTAGGTCCACTTTTGGCACTTTCTGGTCCTTATGTATAAACTCACCAAAAAACAGCCCAATTTTGTTTTTCAAATGAGAAGAGCTTATACCCAATGAACTACAGTAATAAAAACTTTTGAAAAAAAAAGGAACATAATAGAGAGAAAAAAACAATCTAGAACATTATGTTTAAAATACATTTACAGATACAAATCGCTTGATAATTAATATCTGCATATAATTATGAAGATTAAATTTTAAATATATAAGAAAACAAGAAAAAGAACTGTGCAAAACATCAGAATTTATAGCCTGCTTAGAAATACCCACCTTTCTCAGAAGGGAAAAATAAACTTGGGAAGAAAAATTGACAGAAATTTGCAGAGATTTAGGGAAAAAAGCAAATACTATCTACCAGTACTAAGGGAGGGGTGTAAACTTTGAGGAGGATATAGAATCTTAAAAGAGGGATATAATGTTAAAATTAATTTGTAACATACAATTGTATTGGACCTAAGCATATCAACATCCAAATAGACCTGTTGGTGAGTAAGCAAATATTAGTATCAACAGAAATTAAGTTATAATCTATTCTACAAACAATTTAGGTGACTATCACAGCATAATTAATTACATTAGATTGGGTGTTAAAAACAGTATCATCCTGAGCTCTCCAAAATTGACTGGCTATGTAATCACATTTTTATTATTTTAATCAATCTTAATGCAATCACACTACATAAGTGTACCTGCAAATATGTCAGCCAATGTGAGGGCGATTATTTAGAGTACATTACAGTAGTTAAATGTAAACAATTAAGGACATACCGTATATATATTTGAATAAACGCCCCACTTTGAACAAAAACGTCACTGCACTATTAATAAATGCCCCCCCCCCACCTCTAGAGTCTCATTTGCAATAAACACCTACCTCAAATATACGAGTGAAATTAAATGGTGTTTATTAGCGAGTATATACATATCCATTTTACACCAAAAAAATTAACACTTCTCTCAAATAACACCTCCCTTGAATAAAGGCCTCCCTTAAATAAAAGTACCCATTGGAAACCCTTCTCAACAATAACCTACCCAAGCGTTTATTCAAATAAATACGGTAGTTTTTTACATGCAAGGCATGAATAGCACCATAAAATAACAGTATCATTGATATAATAAAACCTACATGGATATACAGTAATAGCTACTAGTCTTCTATTTCAACAATAATCATATAAACAGACAGAAAGCTACCTGACTGAAATTGGGTAACTTTGAGTCATGTTAAGCTGTTGTGAGATAACTTATAATGTCATATGTTTGAAATAAAAAAAAAAAAAATCACAAAAAAAAATCACATTGATAACTTCTTTGTTCCGATGTTTGATGGAGAGCTTAATCCCTGCCCCCTGCCGCAGTACTAATTGAGATAAGAGATTAAACAATAAATGATGATACCTTTTGAGTTGTGGGATTAACTATAAATAATAACCTTTAATTCCATAACCTTTTTTTTGGGAATTTCCCTACTTTGTTAGATTCGGATGCAATCAGAGAAGTTATCATGACACAGCACTTATAGAGACTTAATAAAGCAAAAAAAAAACCCATCCTAAAAATCATGTTTAATAACAAATAATTAAGACTGCTTACATTCATAATTCATTTCCTATCAGTATCCTTTATCTATTAAATGAGGACTTGTAATTTACCTTTAAACAAAACCCTTTATTTCAGAAACTACCTCTGTAGCAAAAACACTTTTATACTTTCTTAACACCTTTAATGCTATCTCAACAGTTGATCATGGAAGAATGACCCAACTACCATAGTTGAATACAATGCCATTTATATACAACATGTATTTATTGGATTTGTGTTATTAATCAACAAAAAAATTCATAATTAATATCATTAACTTTGTTATTGTTAAGGAAATAATATTTAACATAAATGCCAACTCAAAACAATTAGTGAAAATAGTAAAATACAGCTAAATTAGTGCATGTTTACTATAAGTGTTCTATTCCTATATTTTAGCAGTGGCGGATATCTAAGGGGTTTGGAAAGGGGAAATGAGCATGGCAAATGGGAATGGCACTGGGAGGAGAATGCCAATGGAATGGAGGTGCACAAATATTAGAGGAGGGCAGTGCATGGCATGGGAAGGACCATACCATGTGAGAGAAGCATGGCGAAAGAAATGACAAAGGGAAGGTAAGATACAGTAAAGGCAGAGATGGGACAAGGGAAGAAAATACAGTATGGCAAGAATATGGAAAAAGCATGGCAACAGATGGGAAAAGTGAACAAAAGAATGAGATTGAGAAAAGAGAAAAGAGAAGAGGGTAGCATTACAATAGTAGGAGAATGACAAAAGTAGGACAAAAGAAGACATTAGCTAAATATGGAGCATGGCAAGAAGAGTGTGACAAGGATGATGATAAGAAGATAGAAAGGCTAGTATGGACATGCTATTTGAATTGACTGACTTGGTAAACAGCCTTTTATTCATTTTTTATTCTCATACTATAATCTCCTCTTTCATATTTTCATTATTATTATTTTTATTTTTTTATCTTGGTATATTAGGCGTGATGTTACAATCAATACTGATGAGGGCGGTCGGAATGTTTATTTAATTTAAAAGCTATGAAATACTAGCACCTAGGGCTGAAACATGTTGTGAGCCACTGTCAAAAGTGCCAGCTGGGGTAATGAAGCATGGCCAGCCAAGAATGGTCAGGGTGCTTTCAAACCCTCTACAACAAGGTTCAGAACCTGAAGGGAAACAGCTACGCCAAACCACCTTCCATCTGGAAGAGCCTCATCACCATCTTTGTTTCGATAGAGTGCAGTTAGAGGGCTAGTTGGCCCATTATAAACCCATTTTTTTTTTTAAACTATTGTTTCTCACTAATTATTTTACTTATACTGTAGAATTATTAAGAATTGAAATGTCTATGGTAAGACTACATAAATTGATCCCAGGCCCAGGTTAATTCCGCCACTGCAGGTTAGCATCACATCTACAAACTGTTAGATGGCAGTGACTAACTGAAAGCATGCAAAGCAGGCCATTTTAGTTACATTACTATTACTACCGCAATGATGGAGAAAATCGGTTGCTACCTGTCCGCCCAGATGCTGACTGACCTCCTGGGATAGGTCACTCATGGAGCTAGTACGAGACAGCTGTTGAATGCGAACATACAGTCACACAAGTCAAATCAATAGAAGAAAAAAAAAATAAGGAAACTGGGTAAAAGGTCATGCACACAGCAATTGCAGACAAGGTAAATATTGATCACTAGTATTGCATACACATCAAATTAATTACATTAAATTATGTTTCATTAATCCAATAAAATCTAAATTAAATTTTATTTAAACATTGTTTAATAATAAATAAAAATAATACAGTAGTTCTGTAATAATACATACTGTTATATTCACAATACACATAGAAATATTATGGGTAAATAGTTTCTTTGTTTTACTTATTTTTATATTTATATAATAATAATAATAATAATAATAATAATAATATTATTATTATTACTATTATTATTATTATTATTATTATTACTATATTATTATTATTATTATTATTATTATTATTATTATTATTGTCAGTTTTATATAGCAAAGAATTATAATATGCCTTTTACATTATTATTCCAGTCATTGGAATAAATACATATTCAGCTCTGGGGGAGGAATAGTACTCCATAAAAATTTTGGAAGCTAGAATTCAGCCCAATACATCCTACAAGGTACATACACTCTTATGTTGAAATAGACATTTCAAATAACACAACATTCATGTTAAAAAATAAATGATGAAGAAATAACCAAAGTTAAAAATCCAACCAATAATATGATTCAATGAATTACACCGATGATTTACATGCCAAAATACTAACCACATACCGATCCTTGATCACACGCATTCTAGACCCCCACCCCTCAACCTCCTTTCCTACAATTTTCCATAGAAACAATCTTCATTCCAACTACTTTTCTATGACTTCTCTGCTCCTAACACTTTCTCCTTATATCTACAAATTTAAACTCCTCCCTGCCAGCCATGGACTTCATATCCCTATACATTCCCTTACCTTTGTACCTACCCTTTCCCACCACTCTCCTTTCATCCATACCCCCTCATCTTCCTACACCTCCCATTTGTCCTGCCATCCATTCCCTACCTACAACCTGCCTTAGCTTCCTTTTCCTTTCCCACCTTGAGTGCCTTTTTTCTTCCTTTTTCTCTTTCCCTTTCAATCCCCAAGTGCTCCCCAATAATGTGCTACCAATTAAACACAAACTTCGCCTTCACAAATTGGTTAAAATATTAGCGTGACATTTACATAATTATTAACTAATTCAAGAAAGTTACATATGCCATGTTACTACAGATACCTTCAATTTCATTGAACCTCGCTCCACTTGAGTAGTCTACTACTCCCTACATTGTTAATTAAATAATCAATTATATGATGAAACTAGTAAACCTTTGGTCGGACTTTATCACACTAAGTGAATTATTGACACATTTTATGAATAATAAGCCAGAATACATGGATAAAATACATACACAATTTAACAATAATCAAATGTATGTACCCCTTAAATAATATTTTAGAAATAAGAGACATGGTTAAAAATATTATTAGCAAGTTGCTAAGTCTCCTGAACATTAAGGGAGTCTCATGGAAATTGGATTACAGCACTCTTGTGGGCAAGCAAACATTTCTTGCAAATTCAATATATAGGAGGATTAGTTCATCTTCTTTTGCTTGCTTTTACTACTGTATTAATTGTCTCGGTAAGTCATTTGGCAATGGGTATAATTTCACGCAACAAAACAACAAAAAAATGAAGGAAGCTCAGTAAACCAGATTTGCCTGAGGTAGCATCTAACATCATGGGACACATGCGACAAAGATGTCTTTATAATCTTAATAACAAATTTAACTTACATTTTCCTCTACAGGTTGAGGAGGTTCTTGAGATTGCACTTGGGTGTTATTATATCCTTGAAACTGGCCCATGGTACTTGGCCCATTGTTGTAGGAATTGGGATTGAAGAACTGAAAAATATAATGATCACATCCAATTGGTCCAGTGCTAAATAATAATTTGACTGATTTAATGATCAATTAATGACTTAATGTATTTGTTGTTGGTAAAAACAAAACAAAAACGTATACAATAATTAAAAAAATGTATACAATACATAATATTTCTGTTTTCACAAACGATTCCCATGAGTGCCGAATACGAAATCAAATAAAAAATCAAACTTTTTTAATGCTTCACTATTTACCTGAGGCTGCTGAGAAGCTGGCGATAGATCGCTATGTTCACTAGCTGGGGTAGGAGGCTGTGATCCCGGGTTCCCTACCTGAGGCTGGCTTTCACTGTTGGTCGTAGAAACCGCTGAAATAACAAGAGAAATATGTGAGCCATCTAGATCAACAATTAATCAAAATGACACAAATGGCAGCACCATAGCTAATAACAGTGCACTTGATTGCTGAAGTTGAAAAATAAAACATAAAAACGTTCAGTTAAGAAGAAATAATTATAACAATATTGAATTATCATCTGGCATTAAGTTGGCCAGTGTCACAATTTGTTTATAACTTGGTCTCCATCTGTTTTTTTAATAAATAATATTTTATTTTTAAAAATCATGATTTATTTGATTGATTAAATGCATTTATTAACCAGAATCATTTACATTCATATTTATTAGAACTAAACTAAAAATATGTATCTTGGAAACAGTTCACTGCACATTTATGTAATCATGAATGTAATGAAAGTATAAATATATTATTATAAATGGACTGAACTTTGAATACAAATATATACAACTGTTAACATGTTGTCTGCCAGCGACGAGTATACAGGGTGTTGCTGAGGGCGCCAGTATACTCGTCAAAATCGGGGTAGCATTCTAACGTTTATAACTTCTTTGTTATACATTTTAGACCCACAGACTCAATGGCTAGTAGTTCGCGGAATATACACCTAGACGATAACATACAAATGCCGTATGTATGTTTGTTGTGTAATTTTGCCGGTAGTACACTCGAGCGGCACAATTGGGGTGCCCTTTGAACATATACCAACCCATGCAAAAAGCAAACAAGATAACTCGTACTTGGTATAGTCAATAAAAAGTGCCGTCAACGAGTTTACTCGTCCCTCAATATTTTCCAGCCAATTTATTAGACACATCATTTTGATGATATATGACTAGATAAAATTTCAAAAAAGTATGTTTGAACATGTAAACTTGTTTGGGCACAAGGGAAGGAACCTTAAAAAAGGTCTGGCAGTAAACATGTTAAAGCATTCCATCAGATCCACTAGGACAGTACATAGCTGGACCACATAGTAAGTAAGTGGCTAATAGTTTTAGTTACCTGGAGTTGGCATAAAGAAGTTGAGTGGGGGAGCACTGCTGTTTGGTATTGTAGGGAACAAAGCTGCAGGAGGTGCTATGGATGATACTGTACCGCTTTGCTGCTTAACAAAGTCCACATAGTTACGCCCCACTAAAGGAAATAGTAAATCAATGTAAGTAACATTTAGCATTTTGATGGCTGCCTATGTTATTGTAGGCCTAGACTAGGTCTACATCACTATTATAAATATCATGTGACATCTGATCATGAGACAGACAAATTGAGGCATGTTGTGGCGAAATGGTTAAGTTGTCGCACAGTCCAGTATTGAGTAAATGAGCTATAAAATATGGGAGCTCAATTAATGTCTTATTAATCATGTGCCAAAGTATTAGTTCTGGAAGTGGTTTAACAAATTGTTTATTTAACGTTATTTTCCATAGTTCATTCTATTAAGCAATGTATGCACAAATAACTTTGAAAGGTAATTACTCAAAATCGTGTTTATCTTGACTCTAAGAGTAACTCTACTTTCACTTTCCAATAACTTAGGCTTGAAATTTCCAATTTGAATGAATGACCCCTCATTTTAAAGATCACATACTCAGGTATCTGAAAATACCAATAACTTGAATTTCAATTTTTGCTACAACTTGGCCATTTTGCCACAACATGCCTCAATTGTATGTTTGAAAAAAATTACATAAAACTAAGACATACAATTAATAATGAAATAGAGAAATGTCTTCCCCTTACCATGTTTCTTTGAGAATTTGTTAACACTAGCTGCAGAGGTGGCGGGTAGCGCACTAGGAGGGGAAGTTTGAGACAGCTGCGAATCACTCGGTGGGGGTGCAACTATACCATCATTATCATCTCCATCGCTATCTTTATTCACCCATTTTTGCTTCTTTTCATCCCATTCAATCTGAAGATAAGACAGTATTACTATCATCAGCACCAATTCCTGGGAGGGTTATTTTATTAGAAGGTTGGCACTGGTCTCTAAATGATCATAATATATATCTTTTGATTTTCTACATTATCTTCATAATTATTACACTATTAGTTATAGAAATAACACCATCATAATATGTATCTATTGAATCATTTTCCATATTATCTGTTTTATTATTATCATCATTATTACACTTCTAGTTACAGAAAGAGCATAAAGAAAAAAAAAACACAGCAAATTACCTTAGTGTAAAATACAAATATATTAATAATTCATTATACTATTATATAAGAGATTTAACTACTTACTGTTTTGTCACTATCATCTGGCAGGTGAACATCGTTTTTACCACCAAACCGACTGAAAAGACCACGGAACCAGCTACCGCCACCACCCTGTTAACATTAAAAATACAAATTGCAATTTAACAAAAACAAACATTGAGATTATAAACACATAAATATACACACATTTGCACATACATTTTATGCATATTTAATGCTGCTACATAGAACATAAGTACATAAAAATAATAAAACAATAACAAAATAAATAAAAAAACATTAAAAATAATTTTTTAAAATAGAGGCATAAATAGTTAGCGCAAATTTTATTGCCGAATAATGTTTGGCACTGCTGTCTAGGATCATTCCTTAAAAAAAGGTGATTGATTGATTGATTGATTGATGTAATACCAGTATATATTGGTTAGGCATTACATAAATGACTCTTAATATTATTACTCTCATGAAATAATTAGAAAAATTGATTTATTGAATTTGTAGTCTACCTTTGGTTTCACAGTTGAATTCTGCTCCGAATGCTTGTGCTGAGGTTTCTGCTTTGCTACAGGGGTAGGTGCTGACCCTTTGTTGCTTGAGCTCTGTGAAAGTGTTCTTGTCCTTGGGGATTCAGGAGGAGTAATTGTGTTACTTGGCGTAGATGGCATTGTGCTTGGTGTGTCAATGTTCTTGGAAGTCGCCTGAAAAAACAAGTATTACATATATATAATCTTTATTTGCAATAGAAAACCATATTTACAGCCCAACTAGTGTATTCTATTGGGTTTGGAATGCTGGAATTCTTTTTCAATTTGTTGTCAATTTCAATGCAATAAGAGTTATATAATCCGTTAAATATAGAGTGGAGTTGAATAGCTTGGTTGTTAAGATGCTTGCCTTCCAAACCCAGGGTCCTGGGTTCAAATCCTGTCAGATCCCAGGATTTTTTTTCACGACCAAACAAATGCACTCCATAAGCCTCATTATGAACCCTAATTTATGCAGAGCATCATGTGTATATGTTTGTCATGTGAAAGGATTGCCACCTATGTAATAGAACAGTGATTAAGTTGCTACTGGTAATCCTTGGTCATGTGGCTAAAGGAATAAAATAAAATAAAAAAAGTATTTACATTGTATGTGGTAGCTCCATAATAATCAAAATTAGATGCATTGCTGTTCGTCCAGTCCGTATCACCCTCTGCTTCTGTGGTGGTGGAACTGTATTCGCTGATGGTACTACCAATTGAGGCACCAGGATCTACATTCATTGAAGCTAGAGTGCTTGTATGCTGGTTGCCATATGTGTCTGTACCCTCATAGCCTGCATATCCCTGTTTAGATGGCTGGTAGAAATGCCCGCCTCCACTAGGTGCTAAGTCTTGACCATACTGAGTGGGAGCATTCTGGTTCTCTTGGAAGTCTGCTGGTTGATAAAAACCTTGGCTATCCATACCTAGAGAAATAAGACACTAGAAAGCATTAAATATGCTATAGTTATTATAGGTCTTAATATATACAGGAATATAGTTATGGTGGGCGTCGCCACCCAACCTTGAAGTTTTTCACCCAGACTAAAGCTAATTTCATGGCCCTCCAGCCGCTGCCTTTATTAACCCTCTTTGCACAGAATCACAGTTGCCTTTGGGGTCTCAACTTGACATAGGATGTTTGATTTCAACACTGACTCTTCAGTTGTGTACAGTACTTAGTAAAGACATACTGACATGTATACTGCTTCACCTAAGTAATTAGGCTGAGATAAAGGTTTGTGTTACCTATGTGTGAATGCCCCTAAATCCTGTACTGTAGGTTGTACTATATGGACACTTGAGGGTCCCTAATAATCAGCTTCTGCTGGATGGATCACCCTCATTAAATATGGTTCAAATAAAATAAATAAAAATAAAAAAAACACCCTGTTATGATTGTTACCGTTTTCAATGAAGTTATAAAACATTTTGAGATGTTTACTGGAAAGCGCTATATCAATACCTATATAAATCCAAAGATAATTAAACATAACTACCAAATTTGAGATGGAATGAGTCAAACCTGGTATTTGCTGTTCATCATGTGATGGTAAAGGCTCATACTGCGTTGATGGTGTTGATTCTGTGTCCTCTGTCTCAGCTAGGTTACTTAAGTTGGTGAAGGATTCCACCCATGGCATCGGTGTCTCTGGATTAGATGCTGGCTGTATTGAACCTTCCTACAATAATAATAAGCAATTAATATAGTTGTATTCCACACACTAAAACAAATTGGTACAATCAGAATTTGATTATACAAAATATTCTTGTCATGATATTTTTTATGTTTAACAGACAATTCTCCCAACGTTTTAAACAAGTACAAATAAGATAACAGAAAAACACCTTGGTCTTGCAAGTGGGGACAAATCTAAAAAAATAACATAATATTCATAGCACTATACACTCCCTCACTTTGCTATCTTTTATAAACATGATTTCATTCCCTGCTGTAGAGAACACATCTACTAATAAAACATGCATACCATAATTTGTTGCTGTATGCCTTCTAGGTCTTTTAACCACTGAGGCTGAGTAAGTTCACGCCCATCAAAGTACTGAAGATCATGATATTTCAGACGATCGGACATCTTTAACAAAAAAATAAAAACATAAAAAACAATTTAAAAAGTGACATCATTCAGATATATATTCTTTATTTGTCTTTTAATTGTTGATATATTCGCAATACATAACTTTAAGCTTTAAGTTGGCTTTTGTTTGTATAAACACAGAAATAAATATATAAATAAATACAGTATAGCCTCCTTGTTAAGCATTTTTCCAAGGCTATGTTATTGTTATTATTATCATCATTATTACCATTATTATCATTGTCATTGTAAATATCATTATTATTCGCAAAATTAGCAAAACCATACATACCTGACAAACTTGACTAACAAGGGTTTCACTGTAGTGGGTTGGAAGAAATATAATACTTTTGGCTATCACTTCACAGTAATGCAGTGCCTGAAAATTATAATTGATTGATTATAATTTTTATATTAGACATATTCAAGCTCAAACTCTTCTCCTGTTGTCAAGCAAATATCTTTGTGAATTATCAAGTACATACACTATTACACGCCCATCAAATACAGTACATTCACCCTCTTCCTAGACTGTTATATGGTCAGATGACTTACTTCAGTGATGAAGCCATGCTCAGCTAGTCTGCATGCATAGATAAATTTGTAGGCATTGTAATTAGGCATTGTGTAGTGTTTGTTGGCTAAATGCTGAGCAAATTCATATACTTCAGTCTGCTGGATTGCTTCATTTGTTGCGAACTGATTAAATGCCAGCCTGCAATGTAAGAAACAACGCATTAGAAAGCTTTATTCATCTGTCAAAGCATTAATTCGGTGCACTAATAAGGCCACAAATTGTCTAATCCTTTAGAAAAAAAGCCACCAAAATTATGTCTTCTGAAGCTCTTTACATTCTTCCAAATTGTACTGACCATTACATTAAATATGTTTCAAGTTAATGCATATAACTTGAGTGAACATTGGAAAATGACTTTATAGTGATAATGTTTTTATGACCTTTAGTTTCTCACTAACAATAGCCACATGGAGTAGCTACGTTAGATCAACAGTGTACAGTAGAACCAAATGGCTTAACCTGGGAGGTAACTACTACAGCAGTCTATAATGCCACAGAGCTACTGTTTCAATGTAGATGGGACAAATGTGTTTCACTTTAGTTGAAGTACAGAGCACATTGTCATTACTCTTATTTAAGTATTATCATTATCATTTGTGTATATATTTTGTAATCTAGTGGAGTTGTTAAATATTTAATCCTTCCTTGATGGTTGTTTTATGAAAGATGAAAGAAGGGGAGCAAAATTTTTAGACAACTTATTTTGACCATGGAGAAAATATATGTTTGACTTACCCATGGCTGGATCCTATTAGCACCATTTTTGAAGATTTCTTACTATATGTTCCTAGGCCAAGCTGTACCATCAAGTAGCAGAAGTGAGATGCATGTACTAAGCCCCGAGAGCCTAGCGAATCACCCAGAGTTATAATGCTTTTCTTGTCCAACTCAGCATTTGTGCCCAAGTTTGATAAAATCATTGCCAAATGAGGACGCCAGTCACCCCAGTTTACATCAGAACAACTCTGAAAAAAATTTAACTATTTCAAAAATCTGGAAAATACTTCTAGTTTTCTTTTTAATTTGACTTTTTGTGAGTTATGTATTGCCAAAAAAATGTATATCAACTCAATCAAATCTTAAAATATTTCTCTTGGGAAAGAAAGCAGATTGTATCCTGCCCAACTGACCACCAGAGGGACCCATCTAAAAATAAGTCTTCATACTTTAATGCGTCATCCTTGGTGTGTTTTACACTGTATATGCAATCCAATCTGTATTCAGTCTGATCAATTTACAAGTTAAAATTGAGGAAAAAAATTGTAGATGGAGAACCTGAAATGAAGCTAATCCACCAGCCTGAAATGGGGTAAATGGAAAAGGGAAATGCAGGCTTACTGTCAAGATTACTATAGAAGCACAGGGGGAGTGAAATATATGAAGAATGGGTGGATGAAAATTAACCTTGCAGGAATATGGTAAACAGGGCTCAGAGTCAAACCTTGACCCAAGCCTATTAATATGGTCAAAACATTTGCTGAAAGCCTTGCTTAGTCGCTAGAATTAACACACTACTCCTACCATGACTGCTGCTGGCTGTCTATTTGACATCAGTTGGTATAAAGTCTGCAGAGGATCATTCATTGGTAGACTGTTAGCAAACCTGAAATATAAGATAAACTTTTATTTGTCCAAACATTAAAACATGTTGGAAATTTGTTTTCCATGGCGTATTTACATACAAAATACTGTACATAGTAAAAATCAATAAAAAACATATATAAAATACATGAAAATACATAAAATATTATTATTACAATTATTATCACAATTATAATCATTATTACATTCATTATCATATAATAATATAATTTAATATAATTATATAATATAATAGAAATTAAGATATTAATATAAACAGCTTCAAAATTTAGTGTGCAGTAATGTAACTGTAGGTTGCATAGTTGACAATGACTGTACATTGTACTCAGCAAACTATTCTAATCATAAATGCAAATGTTAGCAAAGGAACTATAACTTGTAGTTCAAATGAAGATAAAAATTTGTTGGATCATAGGCAGTTAATGAGCATAATTCATTCAAATAATGAATGTGATCGTGTCGGGCCTTCTATTAAGTTAAATATTGATTTTCTCAAAATATTCAGTTGCAATTTTGTCCTGGTTTCTAGGGAACATTTATTGAGGTGGAAAGTTAACTTACCTTGTCATGACACTAGCATGTGTTCTTTGATCCATCTTACAGGCTAGTAACAGTGCATGGCCCCAGAGGCCTGACCTTATGGCATTCTCAAGGGCATCCTATTAAGAATAGCAAACAAATGCTATACGCTCTCTCCACACTTTCAAATTTTATGTGACAAATACACTTGAATTGCTCATATATTTGGTATATGACTACAATTTACTTCAAAAACATTTCTTTATAAATTATTTGATATAATATTATAATAATAGTGTTCAGTGGTGGACCCAGGAATTTAAAAGAGAGGGGTCCCAAGACTTCACAAATGAAGGGTCCATACCACCTCAGCCCCACCATGGTTGGGGCTGAGGTATGAGATGTTATGGCTATGGCAACTCTAGATAGCTACAAATGGAAAACTAGACTAATTTCATTATAATTTTCTTTTTTATTTTCATAAACTTTTGGGAGGGGGACCTGGGCCGGCTGCCCCATCCCCCTTGAATCCGCCACTGGTGTTAGTTACTGACTTCAGATTTTGTAGGTATATTGTTTACGGTTTGCATTTTTAAAAAATACTTTGCTCAGAAATTTTAAGTCTCTAACTACGTTACATTATTTAACTCAAATAAAAACTTAATATTAACAAAATTGTGAGGCTACTTTACCTTTTTCCTTCCAAACAATAAGAGCTCTCTGAATCTGAGTGTCTCTTTCTCAACATCTACTGACTTCTTAGGATGGGTTAGTTTCAGGTTTGTAGGCGTGCTACTAGATACGTCAGAGGTATCAACCTCTTCTGTTTCCTCTGAACCTAGCACTGGGTGGTTTTTCAAGATAAGCTCTGAAATGTCTTGGCCTACAACAGTCTGAAATATATTTGTGGACAAGACGACTATTAATGTAGTGATACCAGAAAAAAAAAGCTTGACAGCCCATTACATTACTATATAAAAAATAAGACATGAAAACCAAAAGGTACAAGAAAAAATTCCCGCATTATAACAATTACTATTATAATAAAACAACATTGTTTGCCACCACACCTTATTATCAATAATGATAATAATAGGATGATGATTAACTAACAATGTGTGCCTGGGATGTACAATTGCATTATTTTTCCATTTCAACTGATAAGAAACTTGGTATATACATCAGTTTACACATACAAACTTTCACAGCATGGACGTGGCATCCATGTGACAACACATACCCCATTCAAGCGACATAATAGCAACATCAGTTCCCACAGCAGTGTAGCAGACTCCTTGTCGATGGCACTTGTGTCCTCGCGGTAACTCTTTACTTTCTTGCTTGCGAACTTTATTACATCACCTTTATGTGTTTCATTACTTGTAAAGATAAAAATTATATCAATAAATATTTATGCAAATAGAACACAGTGATAAAATGCTCAGTTTAGTTATGATATTTTTATTGTCATACATTTTATATTTGAGATAAGTTTAAGATACTATAAAATAAAAAATCACATGCATACAAATTGAGATAAACGTTGTATGCATGTATATGATTTTTTTTGGGGGGTTTTTTTATTGTCATACATTTTATATTTGAGATAAGTTTAAGATACTATAAAATAAAAAATCACATGCATACAAATTGAGATAAACGTTGTATGCATGTATATGATTTTTTTTTTGGGGTATTTTACATTTCATTCATATCGTGTAATTTTAAAAACAGTACAAAAATACATAACAAAAGAGGGGATAAAAAGGGACTGGCTTCCCAAAAGGAAATATAAATTTCCGTAGAATGGGTCACAAAAAAAAAAATAAATTCATAATAAATACAACTATGTATTTTAATAATATTTAACTAAGAGCAAACCAAGTGACAGTAAGTTATCTTCAATTTTTTTTCTAAATTTGAAATCCATGGCTAATGGTAGAAGGTACAGCACTATTAACTTACAACTGGTTAAATAATTACCTTACAAGAGGTCCTGGGAAAGACCTCAGTTCTTGACTCTCAGCCGTGTGGTCTAGCATTGCCTTAATTATTCAATAAAACAAAAGAATATGACACATTATTCATCTTAAACTCAATTATTTTAATTCAATACAAAAAAAAAAACAAAAAACAATAAGAATTAATATGAATATAACACAAACATCATGGTGAGTATGCTTTAACTTTATCTAATTGGACATGTGGGTCAAGGGTTAGCAAATGCAAACTTATTCCATGTCTTATACAATTTATAACAATCCCTTTCAAAATAAGGGTGTGGGATGTTTCTGGTCTAACAAGAAATCCCACCACCTGAACAGCCAACCTCCACTCTTTGTACATAGGATCTCACATCTGTTATTCCTAAGTAGCTTCATAAAAAGTGTACATACACAGTGTTTGTTCACAGAAGAACAACTAGATTTATTAAATAATATACAGTAAAACTTACCTAAGTCAACTTTGCCTAACAATAATTTCTAAGTCATCTTAATTTACATTTTCCATTAATCAACGATTAAGTCAATTTTTTTATCCAAGCCAAAAAACTGTTCAATGCCATTGTGGATTAAACTTAACAGGAAAGTTCAACTGTATTTCAAAATCTAAATTCATGATATAAGGCTTGTTACCTCGATGGAATGGATTTCAACCGTGGCTGTAGCCCCCTCACCAGGAGCATTAGCTAAGACCTTCACCAAATGACCTCCAGGGCTAAAACGACCCAAGATGTGTGGTAACGAGAACTTGGTTGGGGTCCTTCTTGGTGGTGGTGCTTCTTGTACTATAAGGAAAAAATATATATTGAAATATCAACTAGGCTTGCTATGTCTGTTTGTAAAACAGAACACAGGGCTTTTCCTTACTGATGAAATGAGAATTGATGTATATTAGTTTGTTAATATCAATCTGTTCCTGTGTTCCATTGTCTTTTTGTCCATGTCTCTGTTTTATTTTGAAGGTTCTCTTTTCACATTTTATATAATAATAATAATAATAATAATAATAATAATAATAATAATAATAATAATAATAATAATAATAATAATAAATTTAGTCATTGAAAATATATCAGTTATTATCAGCCATTGACTAGGAAATCTAGTTGGCATATTACATCTCATGATATTCTTATATTATATTAAATTATATTGTATTATATTATATTATGTTGTGAATACATCTTAATTTAAAAATTAGCCATATACTTTATATACATATATTATACTATAACTTTAAAGTAAACTCGGTTAAGTGTGATTTTAAAGAAAAAAGAAATTAAAAATATAGCTATGTGCCACCCTCCATGAAAAGAATTTTGTAAAATTGTTATATCATTAGAAAATGTATGTAATTTAAGTACTAAAATCTGTCTTATTTTCATTTAGCATTACATCTCTAATGCACCCCTTAATACTGCTGATGCAAGTCATCATAGCTAGCAGAACAGCTGCATATTGTCTGACAAATGTTTAAATGATAAATATGATTGTGCATCATCTGCATAACAATGTGTATTAGCAGATGCTATTCAATTGCATGCATTGGTAATAGTGAATTGATAAGGTACATCACTGTAATTCAACAATTACAGATATTTCACGTTATACATAATTTATAAACATGAAAACTAAAATTTAAAAAAAAAAAAATTTTCAACATATCATTTTCCCATCTTTTAAATTTTAAATATGGTTTGTATAAACTAAAGTCAAATCTAAAAATTGAAAATTTCAACATGAAAATATTGTTCTTACCAGTACAATAGCGAAGGAACAATGGTAGTGGTACTATACCACTTTTACACTATAAAGCCCAAACAAACACTGGTGTGACACCGGAGCCAAAACCCATGTAAACTTAATGAGGAAACTGCAGGATATCTCATTTACACTTGACAACGAACTCCGGCTCAACACCGGTGTTGAACGCTGCCCACTATTTACATTAGCTCATTAGTCTATAATCAAATTTAGTTTCGCTGGGGGAAAACATTTCACTTTATTTGTACACTAAAAACCACATTAATTTCTGAACAAAAATACAATCCAAAGCAATAAAATATAACTTACATTATGTCCATTATTTTTAATTAAATACGTTCAAAATATATAAATAGTTATATTATTACAAAAAAACTGAATAAGGTGTGAAAGGCAGACTGTTTACACTGTGTGTTTCGATGTCAACAGGACTATACTGGAGAAGTTTCTTCTGAAAACATTCAGCTTCGTTCAACTCGGGTTCAGCACACCGGAGTTGTTGACGTTCACCCATTTACACTAACAACGGGGAAGTAAAAGCGGTAGTCCATCGGTACATTGGTAACATAATTTTGGTACATTGGTGTACTTTAAAGGTAATGGTACTTTGGATTAATGTTACCTTTAGGTTGAGTCCATGATGAGCCTTCCATATTTTCTGTACTGTATGATGTATCTTCAGCTTTCACCTGTTGGGAAACATCTTGATTAGCGTCAAAGGGGTAATAATTTGAGTCAACTGACGCACTAATGGAACTCATATCTTGGTTGTATCTCTCTGGTGTGTTGCCACCTGTGTGATGAAAATTACTGGCAAATCTGAAACAAATTGAAATAGTGTTATACTAGAGTTATAGTAGTGTGAGCCTTCCACAATAAATACCATCTAGCAATGTTTAAAAGGACAATGAGAAAAAATAAGCAATAATAAAATCAATTAAATTTAAAAGATCTAATCCACAAAAACCAGATATGCTGTCCAGAAATCTTGTACTTACGAGCTGTCATTGGTTGATGGTTCCTGATTCTGTTCTGAGAGCCCTCGGCTAGTATTCTGTTGTGATCTATAATATTCTTTGTAATATTCTTGCTGCAACCGCTTGTACTCTTGATCCTGGTATGGATCGTATTGGTAACCTCTGGAGTAGTAACTATTTCGATGGGCTCTGTCATATGCAATTGGTCGTCCATATTCATCATAACCTATTATTAAAGTAACAATTTGTTAGTATTTAAATCAATCATGATATCGTCACTTGTAATTTTTTTCTATCTCAAATTGTAAGTTTGCATTAGTGCATCATTAGTTGTGGCTAGTGTGCAAAAGGTCAAAGAAACCTGTTTACTATGATACAGCCACAAATTATTTTTATTTTTATGTATGGTTACAGTACATATGAGCACAGTACAGATTAGTTATGCAAGAATCTCTATGGTTCGTTGCAAACAAAATTGGGAGTGAAACAAAGAAAAACATGCATACATAGTGCAACAGTCAACTCACAATTAATAAATAAAAATCAACAAAAAAAATATTTTAAATGCCTACTGTACTGTACCTCTCCGGGAATAACCTTCGCTTGAATAATTATCTCTCTCATCTCGACTTTGTTCCTGCCGTGAGTTTGGCCTGTCTTCACTGTTTGATGAACCTGGACTTTCTGTGCCTTGTCGCGATCGTGGTCTAGAATTTTCATAAAAAGCTTGGTAAGAGTCGGTGTATCTACGAGCACCAGAATATCTTCTACGAGCGTATTCCTGTTGTCTGTAGTAGTAATCATCATAATAGGCCCTATATCCAGTCTGGCCATACCTATAGCTGTAGTATGGATCATATGGCTGTCCATAGGAATTATATGGCGAATTACCATAACCAGCATATGGCCCACGACTTGTTGACCTTTCAGGAATGTGACCTTGTGCATATGGCCCCTACATAAATGATTGACACAAATTACAATTTACTATATCTAAAAATTTCTTATTATTGATTAATTATCCCTATTGGGACATAATTAGAGGGTTTCTATGGTTCTGGCCAATATTCTTTTGTAATGAAGCATGTGATAAGCAAATTCAAATATGAGAAGCTTACACTACGTAATTATGCATTCATTTGGAGTCCCATAGTGTTGTGCACACTTTGATTACATTTTACTGTATTAAACTTTAAAGATCGACTGACCTGATGTGGTGGATACTGGGGATAAGGTATCGGTCTACCTTGGTGAATTCCACCTTGCTGAGCATAACCTTCTGGATACTGAGCATACGGTGGGAGACCTTGCTGGGGCATTGCGGCATTATTCTGAGCACCTGGATACTGCTGTTGCAAGTTTGCAGGCTGTGCAGCTGACATTTGAGGCCTCTCTGAACCTAGACTCATATTTGCCACACCCTGAGTTACATAACTTGCTAGACTACTAGATTGAGGTTGTGAGCTTAGCCCAGATGGTAAACTAAGTGGTACAGGAGGTTGGGTTATTGGGTATCCTGGAGGATATTCTAGAGAAGGTGGTGCCTGCACACCTAGTGCAGAAGCTGGAAGTGGTTTAGGTGGTGCGACATTTACCATGGCTTTCGCTACAAACGGTTGAGGAGCTGTCTGTGGAATCTCTTGAGATGGGACTGTCTGTAAAGATGGCACTGATGGTACGAATGCTGTTGTTGGAGGAGTCGAATCGGTGACAGTAGATAAACTAGCAATTGTTTGCTTAGTTGAACCTAGCACGGCAGTAGGCTGTGCCACACTTGTCTGACTGGTACTGCAAAATACTATTGGTAGGGGTGCTGGCCCTGGTATACTTGTAGGAATTCCAGTCGCAGGTAAAACAGGTTTACTGATTGGGGCTGGAGAAGCTGCTGTCAACAGAATATTAGTTGGTAAAGCTGGTACTTCTGTAGACCACAAGGGTGGTGATGGCATAATTCTATTCTGTACTGTTGCACCTCCACGGCCTTTGACAGTGGTGAAGGCACTAGGATGAGCACCACCTTGGACTAGATGATCTACCTCTTCTGTAGACTTGTGCCGCATACGCATGTCTGATGGTGAAGAATTCTCAGATATTTTGTCATCTTCTTTGTTTTCTGGAACAAAGGAAGCCTGCATTGTAGATGTTCCTGTGTTTGGCTGAAAATGGACAGGCTGTGCTGCATACTGTTGTGCAACTTGATTAACAGCAGGATAGGAATGTGAAGATAATGATGAAGAGTTGGCAGTGCTATTTTTCTCCTGATCTGTGGATCTGTGATCTATTTTATCTTGTTCGAGGACAGAAGCACAGACACTTTCACCAGAGCTTTTTGACACTGAGGTAGGATCTGGAGATGAAATTTCTTTGTTAATGACATTTGCAAGGCCATTTGGCTCCATGGGAGCCTGTAACTGATGTGAATTATCATTGGTAGGCATTTCCTCTGGAATGTTAACAGGTTCTTGTGTACCTGTAGGTTCACCAAGAGATGTATGCAAATGTTCTGGTGGATGATGCTGTTGAATATCACTTGATGCTTCACAAATGAGCGAACTACTGCGGCTGTGTTGTCCAGACTGGGAGCTCTCCGATACTGACAACCCCATTAGAGAACTGCTCCTACTGCCACTGTGCTCACTTCTTTTGTCAAGATCCTCGTGGTCAGCACCGCCCTGTGGTACAAGCTCACCTGGCAAACCAGGATCACTGTGTTGATGAGGTGAGATACAACTCATTCCAAGATCTGGACACATTCTGTCTGGTTCGAATCTAACAAGTTCACCATGAATTGCAGAATGTGGGGCTAGATCAGGCTCTGACCTACCAAAGTCTAGGCCCTCCTGGGCTGAAGGACTTCTAGCTATGTCTAAATTATTGCAGTCTATATTTTCAAAAGGTTGTAAATTGTGTGCTTCTGATCCAGGTTGGGTAACAGATACCCCAGTTCCATGTGTTTCTAACCAACTGTGCTGTTGATGTTGTTGCATTGGTACAACATCTGTATATTCCTGACCTGAAAGTATATTACCATCTTTAGAATATGAAACAATATCAGGGACGCTTTTACCACAAGTTCTATACTCCTCCCCATGTGGTAGGGGTTGATCAACATGCCCAACAGGCTGTGGCTCATCTAAATTTGGTTCATTCTTGGCAAATTGTCCAAGTGAAGGATGTGGATCTCCCCCAGAGCTTACAGCAGCATACCTATCAGCTTGTTCGATATTACCAGGGTAATTCTGTAAAAAGTTTGATAGTCCATTACCAAATTGTGCGACATTCTCACCCACAGCCTGTGGGCTATCAAATTCATTATTCATGCTACCTGGTTGTTGGTAGAACATGTGAGCAGATGGTTCATGTAGCTGTGCATGCTGTTGCACATTAGCAGCTAGGTTTTGCTGATGCATGTCCTGATGATGCCACTGTGCGTTGGGATCGGCATGAGGAATGTAATTCCATTGCTCATTATGTTGACTATCGTGCTGGGAGTGTCCCTGATATTGCTCCTGTCCTGCATGATTCTTCAACTCTGTCGGATTGTAAAATAACGGCTGGTTGGAAGCGGCACCAGCAAATTCACCCGTGTTATGATATCCTGATTGTTGACTGCTTCCAACATTTCCAGGAGCAACTAGATCAGGCTGTTGCCTACCTGGCTCTTCCTGTAAATATTCTTGAACGCCTATAGAGACAATAAAAAATTAATTAATTAAAAAATACAATTATGAAACTCCATGAATTGATCTATAATGAATGTGCTAATGATGAATATGACATATAAAAACAGAATAATGGTTGCAGGTTGGCTACTACTGAACAAGGATGATTTAATTATATATTATTGTGGGTCCACTACTGTACTAGTAAGAATTTACCTGTACAGAGTGCTTATATGTTAAGATCATAGCACACACACACAATAAAAGATAAAACAATTAAGTAGCTACAGTAGGCAAATATTGAAAACATAATTTCATCATCATACTGTACTTAAGGTATTAAAAAAAATAGAATGTACTTGTAATATACTATATACAGTACTGCATTTGGCAAGATATTATTCATACTTCATAATAAAATACTGCACAACAAAATCTTCTTACCATTATTAAAGTACGATGCCGCTCCAGCAGGATCGTGCAGTTGACCACTCTCCTCAGCAGACATGATAATATTATTACCCTCAGCTCAACACTAAACAACAGTTCATTCAATTCTTTGATTGCTTTTACATGTAACTGAAAAACATAAATGATTATGATGAAATTTGTTTTGCCTGTCGCTAAAACACACTAAAATGCAACATAAAAGAGAATATATTTATAAACAAAATGTTGAAAATTTAACGGTATGACAAATATACAGAATATTATTTTATTAATTGCATTGCAAAGTATTTGCATATTTTGTTTGTTTAATAATTATTTTACTGTGCCCCAAATAAACTACTTTAAGATACATCATTAATGTACCCATTTGTCCAGGTTGTAAGGGAGGACCTATCCACTGTATTTGATCTATTTTTTCCTGGGCAGATTTAAAACATTTTGTGTGCAACACTAATAATAATATACTAAACAGCGAGAATTGTAAGTAACCAAACTAATGCTTAACGAAACAGGCTTATCTTGAATCGGTGCGTTGGGAGTAGATCCGGTCCGAGTTGGTTCGGCACTGAGTCGTTTTTCGGGATTTTTTTTATATTTCCATGTTATAAGTGGGTACAATCGTTTTGGCCTCCTTATCTGGGTCATTTAAAAAAAAGGCAGAATTGACCCTGGCCAAATCAACTCAATCAGTACCAAAACAATCTTTATTCCTTTATTTAATCAACACTGGAGAAAAAAATGATTTTGTGTGGTTGGATAACAAGCGATTTGTGGTGTATTTTGGAAGAGGTAGCATCGTCGTTCATAAGATACAGTTAGGAAATCAAATATTATGCAAAATACGACTTTCAGGTGTCTCAGCCAGTTACGCTAGACTCAATCATTCATTCAAAATGTTCTTTATTCATCCAAATCATATTTACGAGTATGAATGAAGTGTACCGTGGCACACCTAGCCCCTCGTCTCTTTTGTAAAGTTAGAAAGGTCTAAAATTAAGCTTAGCCTAAACATTACTTAGGCCTAGCTACTATCTATCTAGACCACTATTACTAGCCGTAGATTCCCCATAGTCTAGCCTAGGCTTGGCCCTAGCTAGGTAGGGATAGGCTAGGCCCTGCCTAACCAACCCGAGCCATAGATAGCCTAGGCTAATCGATGTTTCATAAACAACTCAACAGCCGCTTCTTCTTTCGCTGACGTGAACTGAATCAACCTGTTTAGATAGATTGTTATGTGAACTTAGTTCGGAATCAACAAAACATGTTATAACCATAGTATTACGACAACATAAACGAATCATTACCTTTGTCCACAAATGCTAACATAGGCCTATAAGGATATATCCATTATAAAGTCAGTCATAATTTTACACGACGGCCATTTTACACCGTGTTTAGTGGTTTAGTCGACGTGTATAATACGCATGCGCTTAGGAAAATGAACCCTAAACTCGAACGTGGTGATAGAGGTTTTGCTGCAGTGACATCTCGCTGCTGGCGACTCGGTGCTGGAGCCGACTCGCTGCTGGCGAATCCCCTAGTACGCATGCGCAAATGTATGGAACGCCGATCACGCAAAAATAGTGATTTTAGAATTTGACTCGGTAATGGTACCTAGTACGCATGCGTACATGTATGGAACGCCGAACATGCAAAAGTATTTTTTACTTTTTAGCATGCGGCAACCTGTGGAGGTATATTTGGTATACCAAAAACGGACTTCGGTCATGTTCCAACTCCATAGCTATAATAAATAATATGATGAAAATTACATAGAATTACATTGGAATACATTAAAATGTTACAAAGCTATCCTTATACATAAATTTACTTTACCATGTTATCTGTAATTGGAGAATTTCAGAATTTTATTAATTTTCAATGTGAAAAAAAAACCACAATATTCCTGGACCAAACGAGACTATGACTTCCGGAAACATTTTTGGAAGCTAGGAAGCCCATAATGGGAACAACTACTAAACTTATTAGAGAATCAAATTAAAGCAGTGTCGATGATCAAAAAGATAAAAGTGAGAGTTTCTTCTTTTTTGGTAACATATCCTTCCGATCGGTACTTTGATAAGAAAGCTTTTGTAAGAAGAAATACACAATGGGAAAAATTAAGTCGTCTAAAAGTAAAAAGCAGTCCATTACAAAATCTCATAAACGGCTTATATTAATTAATATTGGAGAAGACAGTTGTACTTTATCACTGTGTCCCACTATAGCCAATTTGGCAACCATTGGACACAATGAAAAAGAACAGGATTATCTTGAAAAATAATAACAAAATATTTACAGTTTATCACTGTGTCCCACACAATATTTACTATTACTAGCCAAATATAAACAGTCCCTCCCCCTCATCAATAAAAACAAAAGCGAAATAACGAATTGTTCTGATTAAAAAATAAAAACAAAAAAAATAACAAAAAACCGCCCTCCCTCATCGTTTTTTTTTTTTAAAGAGTGATAATCTAATAATTTTTCTATGTGCTCTTAGAAGCCATTGAACACAATGAAAAAGAAAAGGATTAACTTAGAAAATATTAAAGAAGACAGTTGTACTTCATCACTGTGTCCCACTATAGCCAATTTGGTAACCATTGGACACAATGAAAAAGAATCGGATTATTTTTGAAATTATTAAACAAGATATTTACAGTTTATCACTGTGTCCCACTATAGCCAATTTAGGGCACTGAAAAAATTGTTAGATTTTCACTCCGCCTTTCCCCCCACCCACCCCCGCGGGGAAAATTCGGGAAATATTGATGCGGGAATAAAAAAAACAATTTTATTTTTTTTTTGCCGCATCAATTATTTTAACAGCATAACACAATGCAATTTTTGCAGATACATTTCTTTAAAAAACTATAGAATTAAACAATACAATATTTACTATTACTAGCCAAATATAAACAGTCCATCCCTCACTAATAAAAACAAAAGCGAAATAATCAATTGTTCGGATTAAAAAAACAAAAAACAGCCATCCCTCATTGGTTTTTTTTTTAAATTGTGATAATTTAATAAATTTATATGTGCTCTTAGCAGCCATTAATAGGTCCATGGTTGTACTTTATCACTGTGTCCCACTATAACCAATTTGGCAACCATTGGACACAATGAAAAAGAATAGGATTATCTTGGAAAATATTAAACAAGATATTTATAGTTTATCCCTGTGTCCCACTATAGCCAATGTAGGGCACTGAAAAAATTGTTGGATCATCACCCTCCCACCACCCCAGCGTGAAAAATTCGGGAAATATTGATGCGGGATAAAAAAAAAATACTTTGCCGCATCAATTATTTGAACAACATAACACAATGCAAATCTGTGACTTCAGATACATTTCTTTAAAAAACTATAAAATTTAATCCAGTTTTTATACAATATTTATTATTACTAGCCAAATATAAACAGTCCCTCCCTCATCAATTAAAAAAA